GATTTATCAGTCAGGATAGCTTGGGTTATGCTGCGGTATGATAACCCCAGTATCTTGGGGACTTAAACTAACAGAGGTTTATTTCTCGCTCAGGTTACATGTTCATACAGGGTGAGCTAAAAGCCTGTATTTCTTAGTTTCTCACTCTGCAACCCAGGCTGATTAGTCATTTGTCATATAAAGCATCACTAGTCAAATGGCAAAGGGAAAGGAATATAGCAAGTCATGCACTGACTTAAAGACTTCCACCAGGAAGTGGCACTCATCACTCCTGCTCATGGTTCCTTAGAGTGATTGTCATACTCGCATCTAGCTTTGGGGAGTATGGGAAAATCCAACTGTGACGTGCTAATAAAGAGGAGAGCACCATAGGAATATTATTCAACAATCCTACCAACTATCACAGAATGATAGATTCCATATAGGGTCGCTTTATTTTCCTATTCTACACTCTACTACATTAGAAAATAGGAACTTCCTTGGTGATTGGCCAAGAAAAGCAGTTTTTTTGGGACTATGTCTTTTGATTCTGCCTTTTTGGTGCAACCATGCATGTGACCCTAAGAAATGTGGGAGTAAGTACTGACCACAGGCCACTCTCAGACACACATCGCGCCCTGACCGACAGAGCACATCGCCCTGGAGAGCAGGGAGCCTGAACGTCTCTACACTTGTGCATAGTAAGTAGATTGCTAATTCGGTCTTTTATTATTTTCAGAAAGAATTTCTTTGTACTCTGTTACAGAAATTGAACATCCTCTTAAAACATGACCACTCAAAAACTACTGATTTCCTTCTCTGAGGCATGAAGAATATGAAGTGTCGGGAAAGAGTCCATGTCTTGCCAATCAAGCTATTTGAAGCATAATTCAATTCTTTTAGTAAATTCTCTCACCCAAAATTGTTATTTTATAATCCTTATATTTCAATCCTTATGGTTCTTTTTTTTCAGTTTGAAAGCTTAGGTCTTTCCAGCTAATTAATATGGTGGTGAACTAAAACTTGAGGAAGCCACTTAAAATCACAGAAATACTTTTTACTGAAAATATCAATACGGTACAATTTTTTATTTCATCTCTCATTCAAAAATTTGTGGGAACTTTCTCTTGTCAGCAAGACCTCTGACTGTGGAAAAGCAGCATTGTGTATCAGCTTATTTATCTGCCACGTCCCCCAAAATCACTTGCACAGATTAAGTGCAATTTAATTGTTCATCAGGCCCCTTTGAGATCCTTCAGCCATAAAACAGAATCAAGACAAGTATTGCCAACTACTATCTGTAGACTGTGAAAAAAGCTATATGTGGACTGGCACTCAAGTGCAAGATCTATTCACGATCAATTTATTACCAGATTGATGCCTTTCTTAGCTGTGTATGTAGCTGGTCTTGCTTCAGTACTGATCTCCAGAAAAACTTTTCAATCTTTATGAAAATTACAGAAAAATAGTTAAGTAGAGAAAACGTCTCATCTCTTTCAATCATCCATTTTCCTTATAAAATAAATACAATTTCTAAACTAGTCTTTGCATGAACGTGCTACACCTATGCCCAGAGCTGATTCAGTGGTTTCATCGGAAGGTAAAGCAGAATACAAATTGCCTCAACAAATAACAGTGACTACAGTTAGACTTGTGTAAGGCAATTAAAAAAAGATATTGGCAATAGATTGCCCCACTTCCTTTTTAAGCCTGAGTTGGGTTTTACAGTCCTGCTGGCCATGATACGACCTGTCTCTGTTTTTGCTCTGGTGAATGAAGCTAAGAATGATGGCAGTGTGGTTCTTGTTCTTTTCTCCACCTGTCATGGCACAATCAGTGATTTTCACACCAGTTATTACTAACTAGCAAATATTTCTAAAACACTCAGATAGGTAACAGAGATTCTGGGCATTATTGAGTAAAAAACCAAAACTCCAAAAGTTTCATGCCAGCATATCAGTCAGTACCCAGAGAACAGGACTGAACAGATTCTTGACTCAATTAAATTTAACTTTCGGATATTCATTGTCATACATTCTTATACTTCCTAGTTGTGCTTTTCTTTATTGGTTTGTGGATTCACCTGTCTGGCAACATGTATTCAATTTTTATGTCTTTATTGAAGAACTGTAGATGGATTCATAATAATATTGTATGATACAAATTGTATGAACATTGCCATTTTCACCATTACTTCCCACAGTTAATATAAAGTGATACAAGAAGAATAATGAAGAAAATTTCAAACTTAACAAATACAAACAATAACACACACAGCTGGTGTGGAGGGGAGCCCAGAAAAGTGACCAAAAGAGCTTCTGTATAAAGTGCATTGCTTTTAAAAACAAAGCTATTATAAGAACATTATTAATGTAAAATTAATCTTATGAGTTTACATTTGTAAAATCTCAGATATATAAATTATATCATCCTTTCCCCCCCTGACATTACTGGACTTCCTATGATTCAGTTATAGATGTACACAAACCACAAATGACACACATGCCACGCTTTACCACAGACAAGGATCGTAATTTATCATCCCTACACCATGTCTACATATCTACTTCCTGTTTTAGTTTCATTCTCCTTTCCTTTAGAAGACTCTTTAAAGCACAAAGCCTGTGTTGTCATTGAAGCAGACATACAGCACATTCACACCTCTGGCTGGAACTTCTCCCCGGCCTTCAGATTTACTCACGTGTGCACATGTCTACTTGAGTATCTGACCAGCATCGTCAATTCACTGCAACCACAAGTGCTCCTGGAGAGTCTTCCCTAACACGTCCACTCCCAAAGATGCCCGTATCAGTATTCCACCATTCATCCAATCGTTTGACCCCAAACCTAAGGAGCATTGAGACTGCTCTCTCCCATCCACATACTCAATTCATCAACAATTCCTGTTGACTTTACTCTCAAAAAATATCTACGACTTCCCACCACACGCAGGGCTGCCACCTTAGTCTGGTCGGCTGTCCTCTCTCCTCTCACCTCATCTGCTCATTACTCCATTACTGCGCCCTCTAGTTTCTATTCCTGCAAACACACTTGCATTCTCACAATGGCCAGAGAGACCTTTTAAAATCTAATTAGGCCATTAGCCCGTAGAGACGGGCTTCCTACCATGCTTAGAATGAGATCCAATGTTCTTACCGTGGCCTGCGAGACCTTCTATGATCTGCCCTCAGCCTGCCTCAGGAAGCCTCCCTTGCTTATGTCCCTACCGACACTGTGGCTTTTGGATGTTCCATGGGTTAAGGTCATTCTTGCCTCTACAATGTTGCGTGTGGGGCTTCCCCTGCCGGAAACGCTCTGACCCCCCTGGTATCTGTGACTTGTTCCATAATCTGGTCAGGTTATTTTCCACCCTAACTTAAAAGAGCTTTTTACTCCTACTCCCCTCATCCTGCTTTGTTTAACTCCATAGTTTAGCCACTCTCTGACCTTTATTTATCATCTTTTTTCTCACCAGTATGTAACTTCCATGAAGGTGGACTTTGCACGGATCACAAGCTAAATTTCCAGTAAAGAGATATATATTTGATGTGTCCTATCCTTTAGTTAGTTCGGTGGAAAGAAGGAAATGATAGAATAGCTAAAAATGAAAAAGTCAGCCACCAGATCTTGGGGAGAAGCACTATGTGAAGGAAGAAAAGAGTGTATAGGGGATTTAACCTTGATCTACAGAGTGACTACGGGAGTTTAACTGAGGGGAACCCGATGGAGTTTCCACACATCTTACACCTTTCCCACTGACCAGCCAGTGGCCAAGAATTCACGTACTTTGAGAGATTCCCTTTCAGCCTTTGGTCAAATTCAGAGGTTAGAACTTGGATACACAATTATGATTATTTACTTAAGCTGTGTTTATTATAAACAAAAGTTAATAACAACTCTGCTGGATAAAGATTTAGTATAACTTCACCTGATAAAGAATTAGCAGAAAAAATCTCAGCAAAATCCAAATTGTAAGCACATTGGGTAGACTACAGCTTAACTCCGAGCTGAGAGAGGTTTTGTATGGCTCTCCTTAGTCTTCCTTCCTTGGCCTTTCCCACCTAGTGACTACTCATAAACCAGCGTCGTTGAGGTAAAGGAATGCGCATTAGCCACAAGTAGAATTGTCAAGAGGAACAAAGGTTCAAAAAGCACTCTGAGGGGTGTATGCTTCTGTTACAGTGAACTCTCCAGGTAGTCACTGGGTTCATCTGGCTTTGGAGAGGACGACAGTAGATAATTCATTATTGGGGCAAGGCAGAGAGGCTGGATTAATGGATTTTAGGTTCTAATTAGTGTATTATTACTTAGTAACTGATGGGGAGGAAGGGATGTGCTTACTGAATATTATTTTATTCAAAACACAATAGGTCATATATATATATCTCAAGTGAACTCTCTTGTAACGAATTAAATACATCAGTTGACCAGTCAATGCCACCGCAGTCCCTACAAAATTCAAAGAGTCATTTCTACACACTTGTTTCACCTTAGGCTTCTTGAAACCTTTAGCCAGGGAAGCACTATAGGATTTGTTAGAAGGGCATATCAGCCCATTTAGAGATTTCCCATTATTGCACTAAACAATTATGTCTGGAAAGTTCAGATTTTAGTCACTAGGAGGTTCCTTCTTCAGATTTACCTGTGAAAGACTCAACTGAGTGTTCATTTAGGAAGAGGTTCTCCCCCACTAATTATGACTACTTTGAACTGAATTTCAGGTAACTTCATGTGACCACTGAATAGTTGAGACTCCATCTAACAGTTTACCTGTGGAGGCAGTCACTCCATTAGTACCATAAGATCAACATTTGGTTTTATATGAATGTAAATCCTGACTGGATTTTTCTTAATTCACAAATTTAGCAAACTAAATTATATTTTATCATCTGTCCAAGGAGCTAAAAACAGAAAGCTAAGATGTAGTTCCAATCTTAACTATTTCAACTGTGTGGAAAAGACATGTTCTCTATTCAGAAGGCATACGGCTGAATATAGTTATTAAAATCTTCATGTCATACCTCTCGGATAGCCGTACAAAACTCACTCTGAAGCACTTTTTTGAGAGACTGTAGCTTGTGCACTGGTACTTCTCCTGATTCCTGTAGCTTTTCCAGTAATTCAATTGCTCTGGCAACATCTGAATAAAAAAAAATCAAAATGGAGAGATCTAGAATAAACTGTATCTCATCAGCAAAGTACCGTAATTCCAATTGAATGGTAACAATGAAAAAAGTAAGTGGAATTATTGCAAAATTGGAATTTATAATTCATAGCTTGTTGATCTCATCTTTTGGTAAAAGGACATTTTAATCTGTTCCACACAATTTGTCACTGAATACATCTTCTTTGATGGCACTTCATGTATGTTACTTCTGTCACACAAATCATTTTGAATATTCTTTGAGAAAAGAAGAGCAGAAAACATGTTTTTCACTTATTCTGACACCCCAAAAACCAAATGAGTTCTGCCAACATTACCCATGAGATGGTGTTAGCAGTTTGGCTTTTTTTTTCCCATACCACATTTATCACAGCTGAAATTTTATGTTTATTAGTATTACGATTTGATTAATGTGCATCTCTTCCACTACTCTGTAAACTCTTAAAGGCTAGGAACTTATCTGGTTTGGTCACCATAGCATCCCAAGTCTCGTATATACAGTGAATCCATATTTCATTAATGAATCAACTAATTAAATGAACTCTCTCCATTTAGCAGCTACTGCATTATTCCTGGTGTCATTATCACCTGTCCACTGTCCAACTGGAATCATTTCTTCTCCAGCCTCTTCATATGATCCACAAAGTTATATCTTCCTAAAATAAATATCTGATTGTGTACTCACCCACCAGTTTCGTGTATAGTACCAAGCCAAAGACATTCAATAACAATTAATTTAAATGCTTCTTTCACTTGACAGAATCACAGATTAATGCATAAAGAAACATAATCTTTTTATAGTCACAGCTTTAAAACTCCCAGGTTGGTTTGGTATCACCAAGAGAAAAATGAAAGGCCATTTAAATATTACTTAAGAAGATCTCTTTGACCTCTTTTGCTGTAGTTATTAACTCACTGAAAAGTCACTTAAGCATTTATATACAGGGGAGAGGTTTTCAATTCCAAAGTAATTAGCTTCAGAAAGTATCCCACATCCCTGCCATCAGATTATAAACTCATCCATCCATCCATCCATCCATCCACCCATAAATTTCTGTTCCTATAAGACCTGGCATTAAGTTTAACAGGAAGAATAAGACACACTTCCTTCCTGAGTTCACAGCCAAATGACAAAGAAATATAACAGCATAGCTATTTATCATTACCACCTCCCAATTAGGGTGGGTTTGGCATAGGTGTATGTATCTAACCAAAGAAAATAACCAATAAATGATTTTAATGGGGACTCTTACTTGAAGCATAGCCAATTGATTGTCAATTGTGGCTCAAAGAAGCACAAATCACGAAATTAATATGCCAGTGCCAGCTTCTAAAGTTTGTCTCTTTGTACATAAGTGGAAGTCACTGCATTTAATTAGACAATATGCCACATTCACATAAGGTACCGACTAAGAGTTTTATGCATTTCTAACTACACAAAAGACAACCTAGAGGCCCGTAGGTCCATGGAACTCTTGGTATTTTAAAAATTGAGCTCGTTTTTTTTCCCTGAAACTAGTTCTTTTCTTCCTCTATTCCATATTTCGATTAATAGCATCTCACCCAGCCAGTCCTCCAAGCTAGACGCCAGCATCATCCTTCACATTCACCACCACATGCAATTAGTCAGCAAAGGCTACAGATTTTGTCTCAAAAATGGAATGGAGCCCCTTTGCTTCCTTACTTCAGGGAAGCCTTTGTTATTTTTCAACCGTAGTAATAGAACACCTCCTAACTGTTCTTTAAATTTGTCTTTTTTTTTCAGTCCATTCTCTATGCTGCCTCCAGAGCAATTGTCCTGAATGATAAATACTGTCATGCTCTGCCACATAAAATCCTTTTCTGTCTCCCCATTGATGGCAGGGTGAAGCTCAGACCACTGTGAGTTACATGCAAGATCCTTAACAACCACTTTGGACTCATCTCTAGAAACCTCCTCCTGCCAGTCCTATACTTTGGCCATCTAATATTTTTGTTATTCTGAAATATGCCCCAGAATTCCATGCCTCTATGGCTTGGAATATAATCCCCTGTTTCTGGAATATAACTAGTTCATTCACCCAGTAGTGCCAGGCACTGACTGTGCGTGGGACACACAGTAGTAGTGGTGAAGGAGACAACTGGTTGCTCTTGCTTTCATGGAATTTACCGCTTTGTGGAGTCACAGGCACACAATAAAGTGGGTGTGTGCTATAAATGCTAGTGTATGGATGTATAGCAAAGATATTTATCATCTTCCAGGAGGTCAGAGAGTACTCTTTCTGGAAGTGACAGCTAAGCAGAGTCCCAAGTAGTAGCTGCTGGGGGGAAAAAGGGAAATAAATAGCAATTAAAGTCTTTTCAAGAGAATATGGGGCATTCAGAGAACTGAAAGGAGTTCAGTACAGATGAAGCTGAAAGCAGGATAAGAGTAGCAAAAGATATAGTAGAAAGAAATCACATCATGGAGGGTGTTTTAGGTCATGTAAAGAAGACATGGTTTCTATAGCATCCCCTTAGACATGCTTTCCCTGATTCTCCAAGGCAGATTTCATTGCCATCATGTCTGTGTTCCCACAGTTATTTATTCACTCATCCATTGCAGTAATTTCTTCTCTCTGCTATACCTCTACTCGCATGTTTATCTCCTTTACATATGCCAAATCTATAAGCTTCTTGAGGTACCAGAACAATAACTTGTCATTGCATCCATAGTTCAATGTGGAATACTTGACAAATATTAGATGTTTGATACACATTTGTTGAATGAACAAGTTGTTAGCCTAGACGGAGCACTTGGTCTTTTGCTCGCCTTCCATTAGCTGTGTGAGGAGTGTTCCAGCAAGAAGGAAGCCTAGAATCCTTTCCTACTTGCACAGGCAGTGGATCGGATGATCTGCCTGCCCTCTATGTTCATCTGATCACAGGGAGAGAAGTGGAGAGCGGTGCACACTGGAGCCTCAACCGTCTTGCTGGAACCCACCCAAGGGGATCTAGCAGCATGAGATGATGGGATACACAGCAGTGAGTAAAAACCAAAAGAGGTGTAAAACCCAAAGTGGGAGAGATCACGTCCCGCTAGCCTAGACGTGGCTGGCACTGCAAAGAAATGGTAAGCGATAAATTGGTGTGCCTGCAGTTTTAAGTGAAATTATGATTCCTTTACCTCTGTGAGAATACCAGAAACTGCAAGGCCGGGATCTGGGAGGAAGTCAAAAGAGACTGAATCAGCGAAATATTTGTTCTTAAAACTGTTGCAATTAAGTGTGTGCCATTTACTCATGAGTCCCCTTAAGGATCTTATTCAGAACCTCCTGACACTTATTTGATGAAACTATGCTACCAAATTTGGTTGCCAATATGGAAGTTTGGATTTACTAGGATAGCTCAGATTAAGAGGAATATCAGATAAAGACTGGGGAGGCTAACAAACACAGTGAAAGCAAGATAATTTCCTGAAAGAGACTCCTCTTCTTGTCTACCAACTCTCCAGCCCACATCTCTACTGTTTGTCCCATTAACTAATCCAAATACTTGGCCCTTCATTCCCTTGCCCCCTCATTCTTTCTCACACCCCACATGCCATAATCCTGCCTTGCTAAAAGCAACAATACCAATAAACTTTCACTTAATGTCCATGAAGTAGGGGCCATTGTATGCTAAGAGCTTTACATCTTTTAACCCACTTTATCCTTGTAACAACTTTATGTGGTAAGGAAACATTTCACATTGAGAACACTGAGACTATTACAGAGTTCAAATATCTCATTAATAAACAGGAGGTCTGGGTTTGGAGTCCCGCTCTAATTGAGTCCAAACTCTGTACCTTTTCTTTTCATTGAAATCCTGGTTTTTCTTTTAGCAGCTTTTCCCTCTATCATAAAGTACTTTTTTTTAATAGTTCTGCACTCTGCAGGCTTTCTAGGCCAGAGGCTAAAGTCCTTCATCCCTGGGTAAACATCAACCCCTATTCCATTTACTAGTGTACCTCTCTTAGGTAGTATTTGCTGGTTATCAGTCACCTGGACAGCTTTTAAATGATAGGGAGGAGTGATTCTCAGCCTTGGCTACCCATAAGTATCACCTGGGAGCTCTGAAGAAACAAAAGATCCTCCCTGCATGTATTTCTGGTTTCCTTGTTCTGGGGTATGGTCTGTACATCAGGATCTTCAGTCACTGATATGGAGTCTTAACATACACCCTGGGGATTCTAGTAACAACGTACCTAAAATACTAATTGCTGACACATACAGTGTTTAGTATGGCACTGATCTAAACATTTTATTTCTCTTACCAGGACTATAAGTTAGGTGTTATTATTATCCCCACTTAACAGTAAAGGAAACTGAGAACATAGGGTTAAAAATTACATCTCTCTGGAAAGAGCTAGTAAGTTATAGAGTTAGAATTTGAATCTTGGCAATGCAGCTATAGAACCTGGGCTGCATCTGAGATGTGGCTCAGGAATCCATACTCTTAAAATCATCTTGTAAAATCTTCACAAATAAATAAAAGGATTACTATTGTTCCCATTGTATAAAGATAAAACTTTAAAAAACAATGAAGGCTCAGAAAGATATCTTGCTCAAGGCTATACAAATAGCAAATAGCCAAGATCCAAAACCAGATGGGTTTTCCTACAGTGCCCGTGCTCTTATTTCTCTATCCTGTCATAAATAAAGGGGTTAGAAACAAAACAATAAAGGTACAGCAAGCTTACATTTTATATGCAGGACCATGAGCCATTGTAAGCTGCAGCAAACAAACCACTGCCCCAAGCCCCAGAAAGTAAACCTTTACTACATTATGGTATAATCCATGTATTCATGTTGATAACATTTCAATCATCAAAATAATGATCAAATCATCAAAAATTGCCTGAAAACATATTTTGGAAAGACTTCCTTTAAAATAAGTTGAACATTAAAACCAAAAACAACAAAATACTGGAACTTAAGTGGAATGAGCTTCCAGGAACCTGGACAAGCCCAGTTAAC